AGGGAAATTGCTACATTGGCTGACAGTGATATTGACTGACAGTTTGGTTTACGGTCGTTAAAGGGGAGCAAAGAAATCGCACATTGCTTCCCAAGAACTCAATGTGAATGTCAAAAAATTTTCCAAACTCATATTTTACCAATTCGGAATGGTTTTGGGAAAGTTGAACTGGAACTTACATAAATATTCTACAACTCCAATTATACTAAGCTGTCTTAGAATGCCTTTTGCATCGCTCCCTTTTCACCTTAAAAAACAAAGCATTAACTTACCTTCTGGATGCATACTCTCGCCGTAGAGTAACCATGCCGGTCTCCTGGTAATAACTTCTGCTGCAATTATAGCGAAGGAATAGATATCTCCAGCTTTTGTATTTGGTGGTGCGATGGAGTTCATTACCTCCGGAGCAGTCCACAGTTTATCTATAACACCATCTAATTCGAATATCCGAGCTTTCTTGAAGCTTCATATCTGGCCAACGTTTTGTTTCCAGTATTCTGGTCAGCTCAGCCACGCCGTAGTCGCAAATTCTAACTTGGAAAGTATCCGTCAGAAGACAGCATGCTGAAGTCAAACGACCGTGATAACCAATGAAAGAACGATGAATGAAGTTGAGACCCTGCAACAACGTTTGAGTTTTCGACTATTTTAATTGTGACTTTTTGGACAGAGTTTGAGCAGCGGGAATACTCTACGTAAAATGTTTGATAAAATGAGTAAGAAGGAAAAAGGAACTTTGTCGTAGCAAACTACAATATATTGATCTTCTGGCAGATATCTTCAAAATTGCAAAACCACAGTAATTTGCAAACAAAAAAACTTGCGCGCTATTATTGCTGGCGGTTTGATAATCGCTTAGAAGTTTGGAAAAAATTTTTGACATTAATCTATCTACTCAATGCTTTCAGCAAGTGCACACGTAACCCTTAACAATGTCCTGCCCTCGGAACAGAAACACCCATTCTTTTTTTAGAACCAATCTCTTTATGTTGTTTCTCCTCTGATGGGCTCCGAAAATTGTCTATCATACGGTGACGATGTGCATTTATAGCCACAACTGCTATTTTGATTGCGCTGAATTCATGCTACGCTCTTTATATTGTAAAGATGGTAATCATTATGAATTGCACAGAGTATAGCATAATTCACCTCAAGCAGTATGATCTATGGGAATTTCTCAATCTATAAAACGAAACTCTTTCAGCCCGTATCCATAAAAAGCGTTGCTCACATTTTTTTTTGATTAGGTTAGTTGAATGGATTATATTTTTCAACTCTTTCCTAGCGAAACTGAGGAAAACTATTGGAACCACCAAACTATAATAAAAACTTGAAATTATTTTTTGCTCCAAAGCAATATAAACTTTTTTGCAAACTTCTCCACCGCCCTTCAGCTCTGCTAGTTAATAATTGCAGTTCCTAGCAGTCATAAAGGGGCAGAGCAGAAGCAACAGCAGCAGAATTTTAAATTAGCTATGAACCAGAATTTTAAGTTTCTACACTGAAGTACAGTCGCG